GTCTTTTCAAGCTAAATGTAATGGTTGTTGACAGCCTTGATAAAAATTCTGCTTCTATTTACTTATTGGAGTTAAGTGATTTATGGCATGCCCGTTTGGGACATGTAAATTAACAAAGCCTTGCGAAAATTGGTTAACCTAGAAGTATTGCCTGATTTTAAATGCGATAAATCGAAATGCAAAATTTGTGTGGAAAGTAAGTTTGGTAAACATCCTTACAAGTCTGTTGAAAGAAATTCTAAAATTTTTGACTTAATTCACACAGATATATGCGATATGAAGTCAACACCATCTCGTGGTGGGAAAAAGTATTTTATAACTTTTATTGATGATTGCACTCGATTTTGTTATGTATATTTGCTTAATAGTAAGGATGAAGCAGTTGATGTATTTAAGCAATACAAAAATGAAGTGGAGAACCAATTGAATCTAAAGATAAAAATGATTCGGAGTGATAGGGGTGGATAATATGAATCTCTTTTTTGCAGAGATATGTTTGGAATATGGTATTATTCATCAAAATACTGCACCTTATACACCACAGTCAAATGATTTGGCAGAACGAAAGAGCAGAGCATTAAAGGAAATGATGAATGCCTTAATGATCAATTCTGGTTCACCGCGAAACCTTTGGGGGGAAACCATCCTTACAGCTAATAAAATACTCAATAGAGTACCCCATCGAAAAACACAATCAATTCCATATGAGTTGTGGAAAGGAAGAAAACCGAACTTGAAATATTTCAAAGTGTGGGGGTGTTTAGCCAAGGTAGAGGTTCTTTTAACGAAGAGGGTTAAAATTGGACCCAAAACAGTAGATTGTGTCTTTAAAGGGTATGCTGTGAATAGTAAAGCCTGTCAGTTTTTGCTTCACAAATCTGATAATCTTGAGATTCATGTTGATACGACAATTGAATTAGATAATGCATAGTTTTTTGAAAACATTTATCCGTATAAAACTGGAAGTGAATCAACAAGTGAAAGACCTAAACGACCACGAGAAGAATCAATGGAAAATATTCTAACTAGTGAGGAACCTAGGCGTAGTACTCAGTAACGAAAATCTGCTTCTTTCAGACCAGATTTTATAGCACTATTGCTTGAAAATGAGCCTCAAATATTTAAAGCAACTATGTCTCCGTCTGAGTCAACTTATTGAAAAGAAGCAGTCAACAGTGAGATTGAATCAATTTTAATCACACTTGGGAATTGACCGATCTTCCTCCTGGAGATAAACCTTTAGGATCAAAGTGGATCTTTAAAAGGAAAATGTAACCTGATGGGACTATTGACAAATGTAAGGCTAGATTGGTAGTCAAATGGTACAGACAAAAGGAAGGTCTGGACAACTTTGACACATACTCTCCAGTAACAAGGATAACATCAATTAGGATGTTAATAGCACTAGTAGCAGTGCATGATTTTAAAATCCACCAAATGGATGTAAAGACAACCTTCTTAAATGGAGAGTTGGAGGAAGAAATTTACATGGAACAAACAGAAGGTTTTATAGTTCCTGGTAAATAAAAGAAAGTGTGCATGACTTGTGAAGTCACTTTATGGACTAAAGCAAGCACCCAAACAATGGCATGCTAAATTTGACCAAACAATGTTGGCAAATGGATTTAAGATTAACAAATGTGATAAATGTGTTTACATTAAAAATGTTATGAATCATGAAATTGTTTGTTTGTATATTGATGACATGTTAATAATGAGTAATGAAATTGACGATTTAAATGCTACTAAGCGCATGTAGTCCAGCAAGTTCGATATGAAAGACTTAGGAGTTGCTGATTTGATCTTAGGGGTCAGGATTATCAAACCCCCCCCCCCCCAGTGCATTATCTCAATCTCATATATAGAAAAAGTATTGGATAAGTTCAAGTACTTGAATATCAATCTTGTCAAAACTCTAATTGATTTAAGTTGTACATTTAAAAAGAATGAAGGTCAAAGTGACTCTTAATTGGAATATTCTAGAGTGTTAGAAAGTTTGATGTATATTATGAATTGCACGCGACAAGATATAGCATGTGCTATTAGTAAACTGAGTCAGTACACTAGTAATTCGAATCAAACTCACTGGTTGGCAATGAAACGTGTGTTGGGTTATCTAAAATATACACAATATTATGCTTTGCATTATAATAAATATCTCGCTGTGATTGAAGGATATAGTGATGCAAATTGGATCACTGGGTCAAATGATGTAAAATCCACGAGTGGTTATGTGGTCATACTTGGTTGAGGAGCAGTCTCTTGGAAATCGTTCAAACAGACATGTATTGCTCGCTCCACAATGGAATCTGAATTAAACGCTTTGGATAAAGTTGGTGAAGAAATTGAATAGCTCCGGAATTTCCTAGAGGATATTTCATTTTGTCCCAAACCTGTTGGAGCAATTTGCGTACATTGCGATAGTCAAGCAACAATAGGTAGGGTAGGGAGCATTATGTACAACAAAAAATCTCGTCATATACGACGGAGACATAACACTGTAAGACAACTTCTCTCTAGTAAAATTATCATAATTAACTATGTAAAGTCAAGCGGTAATGTGTTAGATCCACTAACGAAAGACCTAGTTAGAGAGACAGTTGAAAGATCATCTAAGGGAATGGGTTTACGGCTTAGGACAAGTCAGCATGACGGTAAATCTATCTAGCAGATTGGAGATCCCAAGAGCTAGATTCAAGGAGAAAAATAAAGTTATGGCTGACGGTTCGACATTGTCAATTAACTCAATCCATTCTTATGATGAAGACAATGTTCAGGAACAAGGTTAAGACTTTAAGGCTTATTAATGAGGTAATAAAGATTAAAGTATTTATTGAATTGCTAAGTTTGGTAGATTTGACCAAATAGTGTATCTACGAGATGACACGGTTAGAAATCACCTATGTGAGTGTGAAGTGGAAGCCGCTTTAAAGAGAATTATATGTCATAAGACTATTCTCTATACACTTATGAAACCAGGAGGTGTCTAGGTATACATCAAAGCTCGACGGTTCAAAGATATCACATCTACCGATTGACCGAGTATATCCGACATATGTTCACTACGGAAAGTCCAAGAGGAAACCTACTTATCCAGATGCAATTAATCATTGCCTGTAAAGTACACAATTGTACGTGCATTCCTATGTTATAACCATTCTCCATCAATGTGGGGGATTGTTGGGTATGTAGCAAGAATTGATGGGAAATAGAGGGAATGAGAGGAATATGAAAAGTTGAGAACTTGAAGAGTTGGAACTTGAAAAGTCCTCTTATGCTTTAATGAAAAGACATTTGTCCCTCATCAGTGATGGAAAGAAAAATAGGAGAGTTTAAATATAGAAACACTCCTATTAATTGTTAAAAGGGTTGGAAAGATAGACCCCCTCGCGTCGTCGTCGTCGTCATTGTCGCTTCGGCTTCGACTTTGGCTTTGGCAAATGATCGAGAGATTATTTTTTGGACAAAGTTTGTTTTAATTATTTATTCAATTAATTAATTAAATGGCTAAAATAAATGTTTCAATTAATTAGTTGATAACAGAAATTGAAAGATTAACCGAAATGTTTTAACTTTTTAGTTGACTAACTCGACTTGGATCCGCGCGCGACCGTTTTATTTGAACTTTTTCCATTTTATTTAAATTTTCCGCCATGACTGTTCTGAAAGGTTGCAAATTTTGAGGAACAGTCAGTACCATTTGAAAGGTTGCAAACTTTCATTAATAATTGTGTGAATTCTGAAAGGGTTGCAACCTTTCGAAACATATTCTTCTTGCCTATAGATACAACTCATTCTTCAGAATATTTGCTAACGAATTATCTGATCTTCTTCTTTTTATTCTACACACATTTCTCTTCGTGTACTTTCCTGCTGCGGATTGATCCGCTGACAGTAGAGTTTTTGGTATCTATACTCTGCTAATTAAGATCATTTTTTCCTGGGAGGTTATATTCCAAATCAAACCTCGGATACTAGAGGGGAATAATTTTCTTAAGGGGACACTGTGAGTTCAGTGGACTTGATCTTTTTTTTTTGGTTTAAAAGATTTTTTTAAAATTCTGGTACGTTCTTACAAATTTAGTTTCTTTTTTGTAAATTAAGTTTCTATTCATCTCTCTTACTTGTTTTTATAAATTTCAGTTACTTCGTGTTTCTGAACAATTTATTAAAATCAGTAATTTTTGGTTTTGATAACACAGATCGATAACAAAATCAACCCTACTTGCAAAACCCAACCGCTATCATCCAATCCTTTAAAATCCAAGCATTGTCATCCTCCAACAATCTGAGTTTTGGCTCCACCGTTCGAACTAAAAATCAACCATGCAATGCCTAACTACTAAACCAAAGTGTTGTCATCCAACCTTGCAAGACACAAATATCCTCATCCTTCTACCGACCACCACCACCATCGATTTGGGTTTTGGATCCACCACCTATGCCTCATTCACGCACATCACTTTAGGAAGAAGACGTGATAATTTAGGGAAATTGGGTTCTACATCGAAAAGTATAATGTATGAGATTTAGATTTTGTTTTATTTATCGATGGGTGGTGAATTTGATATTTGTTCTCATACTCTTCCAGTTATTACTCTGTAATACTAGTTGGATGAATCATACTTCTAAAATCAAAATACATTATATGTGATTGGGGTCCTAGGATACAATGTGTCTAGTAAATCGAAAATAGTGACATATAATTTGGTGATGATTGAGGTGGTTTCGAGTGATGGATACTAAGTGTATATTGTAAAATATAAGTTCGATACATTAATATACAATAATATGCAAGTGCGCACACACACACATATACTATATATATACACATTATATATAAGCCAACAACAAGGTACCAACGCAACTCTACAAAGTTGTACCAATAGTATTAAAAAATTGTACTGTACCGTTAAGTGCTATTTACTGTTGAATAAACACGTGTGTCACACGTGTCTTTCTACATGCTTTAGTCAGTCTATCATCTTTTCAGTCATCTTCTACCTTTCTACTTTTCATTTTCATTCTCATTCTCACTCTTGATGGAGAAGTCGAAAAAGTGACTTAGAAATGGAGGTATTACATTTTCGAAGAGAACATCAAATTGATGGAAATATAGTGAAGAATTATTTTAGTCCCCATCTGGAACATCAATTTGTTGTTGAAATTTCCCATTTGACTATCTATGGGAGGTAATCTTTCAGTCTAATAATAAATTTCTATTTTTCCTTTCAGTTTTTTAGTTTGATTATTTTTCTAGAGATATTGAATTTTTATTAATCAATTATCAAGGTCAAAATTATCTTTTATTTTTATGAGTTTTGATTTGGAATTTGTGGAAGATATACAGGAAGCCCGTCATTATAAAATGGATGCAACATGAAAGAAAGAGAATCGAGTAACATCACCAAATATCTTGTGAGCATTTGATTCTCTTCCTTTAACTAATTTGGCATATGCATGTACTCATTCACTATTCTGTCTCAATTTCTTAGGGATAGAATGTATTACGAAGAATTCAGTAAGAATATAAAAAGGCACTGTGAGGAAAACTCTCAAAGGTTAGTACTATATATATTCGATAGTCATTTTTTGGAGATTCCCCCCCCCCCCCTTTATTCTCCGCAATTTTCTCTTGTTGATAAGTTTGAGATTTGACGACATTTTTTTATTTTTTTGATTATTTATTTTCTAGATTTTAAACATTCTCTTCTTATTTAACTACTTTTTTTATCGATTAGAATCAGTTTCATTCATTTGCATTCTTGATTTAGCTATGTTATTTTCAATTAATATGCATTTCTCAATAATATGTGTTAACCTTAGATGCTACAAATATATTGAAAATCTGAAGCACAGTACAAACATTGGTCCTAATTGAGAAAGGAAGAGTAAGCAAATGGGCTATCAGAAAACAACCAATGTACATAAATTAGCAGAGGACCAATAATGAACATCTACTGCAATGTTTCTTTTAATGAAGTAATACTCCCTCGGTTTCAAAAAGGATGACCTAATTTGTTTTGGAATGGAGTTTAAGAAAAGAAAGAAGACTTTTTAATTTTGTGATTCTAAATTAAAGTTATGTAAAATGTACCAAAATGCCCTCTAATCTTGTGGTGTTAGACAAGCCACGTGAAAAGTTAAAGTTAAAGTGTTGCCAAAAGAGGAAAGAGGTCATTCTTTTCTAAATAGACTAAAAAGGAAATAAGGTCATTCTTTTTGAAACGGATAGAGTAGATTTTATAAAACGGATATCAAGAAAATGCAATCAGACCAATATCGAACATCTACTGCAGATTTTATATAACTTTTAATTGGGTAGCAAGATTGATTTTCTTTTCCTGGTTCCATAGAGATAGAAGTGTGTAATGTGCGCTCTTAATTAGGACATAGCTTATATGAGCATTCTTTTGTGTGTTTGTGTTCGACTCAGTGGCTAAGATTGTGCATATACGAGTTCGTCGCACATGCTTTGTTGAACCTCTATCCTGATTCATAGCTGCATCATAACTTTTATGAAACTTTTCAAAAATGATTGAATCCATTAATTTTCTTTATTTGTTTCTAAGGTGAAGGCTGCAAAACTTATCTGACCTGAAGAAGTAGTGAGTTTCTTATCTGAAATATCATTATATGTTCACGTAGGAGAAGTAAACTATTGATGGTTTACTTGTGATTTGACAAATAGTTGGTGATAGTTCATAGTTCAGTGATGAAATTCAAATATCCAATACTTAAGATGTGATTATCACCATTAACTGTTTGTTTCCCATATCCTGCACAATGATTGTTTGGTAATTCTCTATTAATAAAATAATAATATATATGAACTTGCAGAATTTATTGTGAATTATAATATTTCAAACTGCTTATTTTGGCTTAGCCGGAAGGTGATGAATAGATGTGATAAAGAAAGTTAGTGTATGTAAAAACATCTTTTGTTACAGTTATGAATTTATATTTATTTTTCATAGTTATATCAAGTAAAAACATCTTTTGTTAAGTTCTTTTCGAAGGAGTCCAAAGAAACATGCCTTCTATTCAGATTGTGTTACGAGTGGTTCTCTCTGCTTACTGTAAGGTGCATATCGCGTTTCTCCATTTGTACGAGTACATTATTTTTTTAAAACATTAATAACAATCAATACCATAGATATAAATTAGTTATTGAAAATATAGCAATAAGAGAAAAAGGCAAGATTTTTACCTCCTCCTTGCCAACTTCCACATACATTTTCCTTACAATTGTGGCCAATGTTTGAAACAAATGTACAAACAGAACTTGGAGAACATAGCAACACTCTTATTGTTAAACTCAAATATTCCCCTGTTGAAAAATTATATGCACAAAGGAAGCATATCAGGATCTTTAATACTTACATGAATAATAGATAACGAATACCGTTTATGCTAAAACAAATATCATGCTACATCACATAAATATAATGAATGTTAATTCGATAAATACCTCTTGAAGCGTGAGCGGATACCTTCAAGCGAATCTCCAAGTATAAAAGGATCTTCAAGCGAATCTACAAGATAGTTATGCTCTTCTACAATGATCCCAAGTTACATTCGAACTATCTCAATACTTGGGTGGGCAAGCATTGAATAGAATACTAATCATCTTTTTTTCTAGGTTAGGAAAATCCCTATTTATAGAGATTTCTTCATAATCTAAAAAGGACTAGAAAACCTTGTTTTTCTAGAAGACTAGAAAAACCCATATTATTCTTTCTTTTTTGTATAGAAATAAGATTCTGAGTTCTAGATCAATATGGGCACTATAGGGACCACAAAATTAATTACCGAGGCTTCCTATTATGAAAATAACTCCGAATAATTAATTTGAATTATTCTTACCATAGTAAATTACAAATCATTCCACTAGAAATTCGTAATTGCACTCCTCTATTTCTTAATTCCCTATTAAACACTTATGTAATTTTCCATGTTAAGATTTCAGATAGTAATCAATAAGTTAAATTACTGACGAATTTAGCTTAATGATTAATTTCCTTTAGAGCACTATTTAACTTATTTCATGTGTCGGATTCATAAATCCACTTGCAAGAATTGACACGATGAAAACTTATAAGTTTCTAAAAAAGGCATATCAATCAATCTCTATAACGAGACATAGATTCCATCAACTAACTTATTTTTCACCAATATATATTATTATCATCGAACTTACCAGACATATTGACTCATATCAGAATCTCACGTTTTAATAAATCAAAATGATAATTAATATATATAGATCATAATAGTTATATCAAGATTAAGAATATTAGTACATTTAATAGTTTAGAGAATATGTTTTTGTCAGTCAGTCTAAAACAGCTATCTCTACTCGATCCCGTTCAATACATACAAAATGTACTAGCACAAGAAGTTGAAACTATACCGTTTTCATAATTTGGACAAATTACATATAATCTTGTGCTACAATCGTACCCGATGGCATATTCAATTTCGATCCTAGATTGCGAACCAAAAAATTTATACTTATAAGAATCGATGATTTAATCCTCCATGTATAAGATAAAACTCTACACACTAAATCATCTACTATATAATTAATTAGACACCATAAACGAATATATGATCTATTGAATTTTAGCAAATATTTATTCTCTAATCAATATTATTTCTTAACACATGGTTAATAGTATATATCCCAACAATCTACCACTTAGACTTTCAACCATCAAAATTGTTATAATGTACTATATCCAAATGCATGGTTAATAGTATATATGCTAACAATCTCCCACTCAGATATTTAATCTTGAATATTGTTAGAATACTATGTCAAAACACATGATTTATAGTATATACCCTAATCATATCCCACTTAGACTCTTAACTATGCATTTACAACTTTCGCAGACATTCCTTTATTTCTTATCGAAAGAAAATTTTCCAAGTTATTTTCTAATGCAATATTGTCTAGTCGTGCTTTGTCGTAACAAATCGATTTTGTACTAGATCTTGAGAGACCTTATCATGAAACCCTCCAAGAGTGTACTTCTTTTAAAGAGATCTATCATAAAATTTCTCTCAAGCATAAAAAACAACTCAATATTTGTTGTGATTCTCCACTACAACTAAGTACTACTATTATAATCACACTTTCATGCTCTTGAGTTTTAATATTTCCTTCAAAATCTTTCGATAATGAAATATTAACAACTTCTCATGAAATGTTCTTTTAATTTGCTCAATATCACTCCCACTATTTGAGATAGTAGTATTCTTATGTCTAGTAACATTTCTCCCACTACTTAAGTGCAATGAGACGTCAATTTTGACATACCCATTAGATGTTATTGAGCGTATGAATTTACAATAGACTTATTTGTTATTTCTTTGTTTAATTCCCGTAAAGATAATTTACTTCTAGGAACATGATTTACTAAAATTATCCTTTTCTAGAAATCAGAAAGTTGTTTTAACAATTGACTTATTTTCTTTAGGACACTATAGTAAACCTTGTTTCATTCTTTAGGATATCTAATTAACACACATTCCGTTCTTAATTTCAATTTTCCTTGTTCTACCACTTAGCACATGTACTGGACAATCCTATATCTGAACATGTCACAGATTAGACTTACGTCAAATCCAACTAGTTCTATAGTTGCTCAAGGTACTAATATGAAAGAAAATGATTTCAGAATGTGATATGTAGTTATTAGAACCTATCCTAAAAGAAACAAAATAACTAATAATAAGTCAATAATTAATCCCATCATCTTCATAAGTGTCTAATTCTTTTCTCTTCTATACCAAGCTATTATAGAGTGTCTAGTGTAGACAATTGAAAGACAATTATTTTATTAGATAAGTGACTTATTATTTAAGAGGTTTATGTCACTACAATTAGATTGTAGTGACTTTATATATTTTTCAGGGATAATGCCCAAGTACCCCCTCAACCTATGTCCGAAATCTCAGAGACACACTTATACTATACTAAGGTCCTATTACCCCCCTGAACTTATTTTATTAGTAACTTTTTACCCCTTTTTAGCTTACGTGGCACTATATTGTGGGCCCAACGATGGTTGACTTTTTTTTCAAACTAGTGCCACGTAGGCTAAAAAGGGGTAGAAAATTACATATAAAATAAGTTCAGGGGGGTAATAGGACCTTACTATAGTATAAGTGTGTCTCTGAGATTTCGGGCATAGGTTGAGGGGGTACTTGAGTATTTTCCCTATTTTTATGATGATACTTTTCCGTGTTTTAAATATGTTGAGTTTATCAATACATTTAGACTTATAAAACATCAAAAAATATATTCTTATCACGAGTAATTTTCTTAAAACTCAATAACTCAGATTCACCTCTTGCCCATGTGCTCTTTTATTACACAAATCATAATAAATTAATTATAACTTATCACTACCTCTTAAATCCTTTTTAAGAGTTTCTAAACAAAACGTACATGTTGATAGTGACTTCACTTTCAATAAACAGTTATGTCCATCCATTAACCAACCTCAAAATTCTATTCAGAATTAATGACTTAGACCCTAATGTACAGATAAGTGTCATTCAATTTAAAAGATAGTTTCCCTTATGAGACAGATTAGTATAATTCAATTTATGAGAGATAATACTTACAAAAGAATCATGCATCAATATACCACAAGAAATAAAATATTTATCAAACTTAATGATAGAAGAGTTACAAATAAATATATTATATACTCATCTCTTGTTAGAAACTGAAAATAATTTCTTCTAACATAAGGTACATGTACAATGCATTCTTTGAGTTAATATCTTATCTCTACCAAAAGAAAATCTTAAGTAGTACTAAGTGTGTGTGTAAAGTCTATTGAGAATATAAGACACAATACTTTAAATAGATCATAATATTTTGAATAATCCTGAATAACGAAATTCAGGGTCATTTATATATATATATATCCATGCATCTCGAATATCCAATCGTTGGAATTGAAGACTACTCATGCAATACACATGTACAATGACCGATTATTCACTCCATCAACTTATATAGACCTAATTCAGTTGGAGAATCTACTTAGTTTTAAGTCAAGTGAAAATCCTCTAGCTACATTGATCCAATCTTATTTTACTTAGTTTAGGAGAGTTAATATAGACTATGAAAACTAGACAATTCAATACATAGTGACTTGTATCAATTTCATCCGTTACGGAGGAAGGTCTAAGCGAACACATAAAACTAATACTTCACTACTATTTAATCAATTATGACCAAAAAATCATATAACGATCCAATAAAATTAATTTCTTGCTAGGTCGTTCTTATAAATCTACCAAATTTCATATCAATCAGAGTTCCTTTTTTTTCGAATTCCAAAACTATGCTCAATTTGGCTGAAAATGATGTTTGGTCATAACATAATTTAAGATTTCCCCGCTCAGTAATTCTTATCATATGTCATCATTTTGTGAAATAGATAAACGAATTAAGAATAAAGAACAAAATTCTAATATTCCAAAGGGAAAGCATGTTTATGTATACATTAAATATTAAAATTCTAAACACACCTGATAGATATCAAAGCATCTTGAACAATGAATTTTGATGAAAAAATGACTACTCATGCAACATACATATATGGTGTCAGATATTCACTTCAACAAAATTTAAACAAAAGCCAACTTAGATGGGGAGTATATGTTAATTTAAGTTAAGTGAATCATTATCCCTAGTCCATTGATCCAATCAAATATTACTCAGTTTAAGAGAGTCAATACAGATAATCAAAACTAGAGATTAAATTTTAATGACTTGTATTTATTTCATCCATTATGAAGGAAGGTCTAAGCCAACACATGAACTTAATACTTCACACAAATTTAGTCATCAAGACCATAGAGAACAAACTCTATCACCACTAAATTATAGTCGAATAATTTTTTTTGGTAAAATTAATTTTTTCAAGATACAAAAATTATCTAAAAATATCATCTGAACGATCTCAAATTACCAAATCACTGTATAAAAATAAGTATTTTA